TCCGTCATATGACGAACATCATCAGAGCAATGGGTATCATCGTCACAACCAAATTCAAGCTGACGAGTAAAGAAAACCCACTGGCAAATCCCTAAAAAGCGGTATATAAACTCTACAGCTGTCCTATTTGATCAGGTATACAGTGATTTAATTGGTTGGTTACGCTCATATGTCAACCTCGTAACCTGTGAGTGTGTCTGTCTCTGTATGCGTATGCACCTGTTTGTATTCGCCTATGCACGAATTAAACAGTGATTGCTCAGAGTAATTAGGACGGCTAAAGTAGCATCTCTTCTCGGCCATCAAGATTTAATGAACATCATGTCCACCTTTCTGCATATATGGGACAACCATCACTCCGATTGCGCAAGGTCGGACACTTATCTGGTTTTGTTGATGAGCTTATTTTGTGTTTTTGGCCTTAATGCGATAGAGAAAGATTGAGCTAAAAGTACAGAGAAGTGACTATGATTAGAAGCAAGACAAGAAAAAGATTTATTAATTAAGCACGCGTAGTTTTTATTTAACTTCTTGCCGGTATTCCTTACATTCAAGGTATTTCCTATTCAGTTTATTTCCACGGCTTCTTTAATTTTACGTTTAGCCGCAGACATGCCATAATCAGCTTAAAGCGAGAAATTTGAGAACATTTAATCTTGTGTCCCGTTTCTGGCCTGTGCTCAACCATCTCCGATTTTTGAACTCAACAGCATTTGTGCACAACCACTCTCTGTTGAATGGGACGACAAGTTTCTCCAACATAAAAGCGACCACATAAACACATTATGTCGTAGCAACTCGATCTGGATAATGGGTCAACTTTCTCTCTAAAAGTGGGCATAACTGAGGAAAGTGTCGAAGTTGCCCTGAAAACCGTTTTTATTCACAACTTCCTTACTTGTTTACCTGTCCCTTTAGCGAGAATGCAAGAAGGCAAAAACAAAATATGAGAAAAGGTCACCTTATCTCTCCTTACGTATACACTATTTAAAATGCTATTCTTCATTAATATAGTGTTATTTTTAATCAAACCTAGGGGATAATTGTTCTCAATAAATATTATTTTAAGCCGATCCAGTTCATTTTCACAATGGTCTCTATCAGCTAGTCTTATGCTTCGAATAATCATAGATTTCAAAACTCAAACCCTGGTTTTGTAACTATGATTGGAGAAGAAGTTAACTATAAAGCTTTGGCTTTGGCTCTTTATATACATCCCTGCTTAACTTCTCACCTGCTCTAATCATTAAGACATCTAAAAAGGCTTAATTATTGTCCTTCTTCATATGGTTAATATATGCAAATAAAAGTTGGGTTTTGAGGAATCTCTTGTCTCATAATTGTTGAGTTTACTTCCATTTCGACTGAAAGTGTTAA